AGTAACCTGAAGCATCTGTGATCCCAGGCAAATTCATGCCCTCATTAGCCTTTGAAGAAGGTGAGAAAACAGGGCAGTGCACTCATCTTGTATTTCCTTTGAGGAAAATGGAGTTTGAAGACCAACCCTCTAAAAGCATTTGACATGGAACTTGGTGACTATTAACAAAGCAAAAAAAGCTACTTTATTCAGAATATTTCATTTTGAACAATTTCCATATAACACAATCACAAGTCAGCACTACTCCATTGAAATTCAGACAATTAGAATATCTGAGGCATCATCTTGTATTTAATACAAGTCACAGGAAAGTCACTCTGGAAGTTCCAGGGGCACTGAGTTTAAAATCATTGTATCCACGGTCCGTTTTCTCCCCGTGGAGCAGCCAGGGGCTCTCTTATCCTTCCCCAGGATCAGCTTCCTCTCTAAAGACATTCAGAGAAGAGCCTGAAATAGTAAAGAAAACTATGATTAGAACTGAGACAAGGGGACCAAACAGTGCGGAGGAAGTGAGTTAAGCAAGTTGTGATAACAAACCATCCCTGGGACCCAGGTGTGGGCAGGGATGCTCAGACTACATCACATCAGTTACAGTGAGGATGGATCCCAGCTGTCCTCTCAGATCCAGTCCATGTGGTCTCTAGGGCCTCAGTTCACGTGGAAACCCTGCATCACAGGAGACCTGTGCTCACACAGGACCTCCGGGAAGACCTGCCTCCAGGCTACACAATCAGCAACGAAATGCCCAGGAATGGTAAGAGCATAACAATGAATTTAAACGTTCTCCTTTCACAACTGACAAACGTGAAATCACAATTAGAGGGGGAGTGGAGACAGGAAAATTCTGAGTTTCTCACTCACAAACCAACTCTGCTCTTAGTAGCCTTGATGCATGCTCCTAAATGTCTACAAATAGTATCATGGGTGCATCCACAGATGGCCCCTTCCCAGGGATCACACAGGCCCTCAGATGGAGAAATACTCCTTTCCAGAGAAAGAATGTTTTTTCTTGACCACTAAAATATCTGGAGGAAATTAGACCTTAGCTGATCACAAACTCTGAATCAATTGTTAGGTAGTTAGAATGGGAAAAAGAAGTCCAGAATGGCGGTGGCTAAAAGACAAAGAAAGGAAACACCCAAGAAAATAGAACAAAAGAAGGTCCAAGGACTGGAGTGAGAACCTCAGGTGAAACAAACAGCCCTCCTGGCTAGCCCAGTTTACATAGAGCGGGCTCAGGGGAGGAGATAAAACATAAAAAGAGGAGAAAATTGAGCCTCTCTCGTCGCCTCTCTTTGCTTCTTTTGGGTCAACCTGCCCTCACACCTCAAGGATGTATTTTCCTTTGCTTGCCAAATAAAACTGAGCCGTAACTGAGCTGTAACTCTGGTCCATCAGTCACTTCAAATTTTTGCTGCAGCGAGACAGAACCAAGGAAATCATACACTTCCCCTACACAATGATCCACCAACATGGCTTAATGTTAAGGCCACCATATACCATAGACTTTGTACATGTCATTACAACCTTCTAAACAGAGCTCATCTTAAATTACCAGAATGCCTCACAAATTTCAATACTGCAATACACTTTTTAAATCTCTATCTTTCATATACAGGGCAGCCCAGAGATGTTATCAAAACACTTGTCTATTTTCGGATTTGGTAAATATGCTCAATTAATCTATAAGCTATCTATTTCTTTTGGCCACTACACAATGTTTGTGGGATCTTAGCTCCTTGACCAGGGATTGAACCCAGGGCCTAGCAGTGAAAGTGCAGAGTCCTAACCACTGGATTACCAGAAAAGTCCCTAATCTATAAATTTTAATGCAAGCATATCACATATAAAGTGAAAATTTATGTTGCATTATGGAGCTGCGGCTGCTGCTAAGTTGCGTCAGTCGTGTCCAACTCTGTGTGACCCCATAGGTGGCAGCCTACCAGGCTCCTCTGTCCCTGGGATTTTCCAGCCAAGAATACTAGAGTGGGTTGTCATTTCCTTCTCCAATGCAGGAAAATGAAAAGTGAAGGTGAAGTTGCTCAGTCGGGTTCAACTCTTCACGACCCCACGGACTGTAGACTACCAGGCTCCTCCGTCCGTGGGATTTTCCAGGCAAGAGTACTGGAGTGGGTTGCCATTCCCTTCTCCATGCATTATGAAGCCATAAATGCTGAAAGTACAGTGATTCCTCATCCCCAAGGAGTCTGACAGCATTAAAGATAGCATATGGTTGTGAAGTAAAGTGCTAGTTATTCAGCTGTGTTTGACTCTATGCAACTGTAGCCTGCCAGGCTCCTCTATCCATGGGATTCTCCAGGCAAGAATACTGGAGAGGGTAGCCATTCTCTTCTCCAGGGGATCTTCCTGATCCAGGGGTCAAACCCCAGTCTCCTGCACTGCAGATTCTTTACCATCTGAGCCACCAGGGAACCCATTAAATGCATGAGATTACCCATGTTTTGAAACTGTAGAGAGGCTTGGCATTGAGGAGCTCAAGTTCACCCTTTTCTGGACAGAGACCAAAGATTACAAGGGATCAGTTAACCCCACTCACCTGTCTGAGGCCTCATCCCATCTTCTTTCTTTGGGAGCACTTCCTCCTTGCTCCCCTGAGAGGCAGGAGGAGCCCCAGGCACTGATACCTCTTCAGCATCATCATAATCCTCACCAGGGGCATCAGTCCTCTGATCTGGGGCTTCTGAGGGAAGAGCAGGGGTCAGATGAAACCACAGTATAAGTGGGTTGATCTGGGAAATACTAAGATCCCTTCTGAACCAGAGTTTCTGAGCTGCTAAATAGAGGCACCTGTCACTCCTTGTTTCAAAAGATTTTTTTTTTTGAGACCATGTTTCATTTTGATGTGTCCATAAACTAAAACATGATTTTACATATCTTAATATTTCCTGATTGAAAATATATATCTCAAAGCAACTCTCCCACCACTGAGCATTACTAAAGTATTTTGACAAACTGTGCTTTACAGATGTTATTTTTAAAACCAGTGTGTGTCTCTTGTGATTCTGGACACAGAGGGCCCAGCCCCAAATGTGAGACATCATAGAACACCCAGAGAAGGAAAAGGACAGACCCTATCTGGACACAAAGGATGCCTCTGGTCCATCAAAGGAAGACTGTTCCCCTTACATCTCCTCTCTATGAGGAGGAAAACTCTCCTCCACAACACTCAGCTGAAGCAGGTTCACCTCTATTACCTGGAGCAGATCTGGAGTCATGGCTGTCCTCACCATCTGACAGGAAGCCTAAAGTGGAGAAAAACAACACACAGAATGACCCTCCCCACACCTATGGGACCTGTGTTAAGGCTGAGAAGGGACAGGCCCGGCTCCTGCAGTGTAGACAGAGGCTGGGGGCTCATGGGGCTGTGAGAGGCCATCCTGCCACTTTGAAGGAGCCACATCTGTGAGCCTGGGGAATGAATGGAGTCTGCTGACGCTGAGATGTGCACAGCCAGTGGGTAGTGACAACCAGAAGTCCAAGGAGGGCAGGCAGAGACACCCACCTGGGCTGTCCAGAAGACCCTCCTTCTGTGTCACAAGGTAATAGAGCTCCTGATACACAGCTTCAGCAAGAGCATCTTCATAGCAAGATAAGGCTAAGAGATGCCCCAGCAGGTCAGAGATGTTGTCCCAGGCATCCCAATCCAGCAGACCCACCCTTCATCTCCCCTGTGCTCACACAGGGGCTGCCTGAACCTTGGCATTGTCTCCCACTCCAGGTACCATTTCGGCACTTTCTTCCCTGTCTGATCTGAATCCACAGTTCAGCCCCAGCTCTTTTTGGTCTCATAAGAGAGGCCATGACTTATGAGAGTTCACACCCCAGTCCTCTGTCTATTCAACCCTTAAAGCTTAGCACGGAGCACATGGAGTTCTGCAGACTCAGAACAGAGACCTGGCCCAGACTCCCCTCCTCACACCTGTCCCATCTCCTGCCTGCACACATGCTCCCTGGTCCCCAGTTCCCCCTACAGCCCACCTCTGCACTCTGCTCTCCATCTGAGCACCTGAGTCACCAGGACGATGAGGACCAAGAAGAGAAGGGCCCCCGGGATGAGGCAGAGGACCCAAGGCAGGGAGAAGATGCCAGGGAGAGGATTCGAGGCTGGTCTGGTCCCTAAGGAGAACAGGCAAGAGGGCTGGAGGAGGTCCTAGGCCCCCCTGGTGCCAGCATTTCAAGGGAGCTCCAGACCATGGCATCCCAGCCTCAGACCCAAGTGCACTGACAGAGACTGGGGTTCTCCGAGTCTTGTCCTGAGACAAGTCAACTCCACTCCAGCTGAGGCAGAGCCGGGGATTGTCAGGGAGCTGCCCTGCAGAGACAGCCTCTGAGGACCCGGCTCATCTCTTCTCCTTGGGCTTCAGGAGACAGAGCGTCAAACAGTCCTGGGACCCACACCTCACTGATGAGGAGCAACACTCAGGGACAGGTGGGAGAACCTTAGAATCTGCACCACCGGAACCAGACTCACCTGGACTCTGGGTATGAGAACCTTCTGGCCCTGGGAACCAAGGCAGGGGAGTTCCCCAAAGTAATGCCCCGGCTCCCCCTCCACCAGCCAGGGCTCCTCAGGCTCTTTCCTCTCCTGAGCTGTCAGAGGGCCCACAGAACAGGCCCCCAGTATTTGAGTATTCTCCCCTGCCCGTGGATGGATCACGGTACCTGCTGTAGTCAGGGGCAATGTTGTCCTTGCACCTAAAGAGAAAAACAGGAGTTTGGAGCAGGGTGATTGGCCAAAACACAGGGCAGCCCATTTTCCCTTCCTGAGCCTGAAATCACCCCTCAGTCTCCACAACATCAGTCTCCAGTCCTCCCAACTCCCCCGTCGGAGATCAGAGCCCCAGCACCCGGACACTGTCTGAACACAAACTCCCCACCAGGCCCGGCCCAGCCCAGCCCACTGCCGCCGCGCTGCCCCAGCTCACCTAGGGCGGACCCGCGCCGCTCACTCACCAGGGCGACCCGCGCCCCTCACTCACCAGAGCACCTCACCCCGGCGTCCTCCTCGTGCTTGCAGTCGCTCTGCCCCCAGGGCCCCGCGGCACAGGCCCACAGGGGGGACTCCCGGCCCCCGCACCGCACCTCGTCCAGCCAGATGCTCCCGTTTCCAGGGCCAAACGCCGCGGCCCGCACGGCTTCCAGGGCCGGGCCACAGCCCAGCTGCTGACACACCACCTCGGCCTCTGCCAGGCTCCAGGAGTCATCGCACACGGTGCCCCAGGAGCCGCTGTGCCAGACCTCCACCCGCCCTGAGCACTCGCTGTCTCCTCCCCTGAGCCGGAGCTTCTCTCTGTCTGAAAAGGCAGCAGCCCCTCCTGTGACTCCCCTGGTGGGAGGAAGGAGCCCCTGGGAGCCCTGGGGAGGGGGCGGGGCTGACGTACCTGTGCAGGGGGCAGCAGCTGGGCAGCTCTTGGGTCTTCTTCCTGCAAACAACAGGGAAACAGTGGATCAGAAAAAGCTGGGGGTGGTCCTGTCCCCAAATAATATTATCTAAAGGTCCTTGGCTCAGTCCAAACAACAGGTGTAAACAGAGGCTCATTATCTACTGGGCTGAGACATTCACTGCATCTTAGCACTAGTTGAAAGAACTTTATTTACTTGTTTATCAGTCTCCACATCCCACAACAAAAGTAAACAAACAGACACAGAGACACACAAACACACACACGCACATTTTGTAGACTCAATTTCAACTCACCCCTTAGATTGGAAAATATAAAATCACTCAACACCCTACAGGGTTGGGACAGACACAGAAACAGACATAAGTCACCTGCACACGTGATATAGGCTTCCTCCTTTGGAGAGCACGAGTTGTAATTCCAAGGTCAGAAGGACAGTGCCAGAGAGAGGTGTCAGTTTTCTGACACCAGATTCCATCTATCCACCGGGGTCTAGAACCTTCCCTAAGAGCAACAGAAGAGCTGAGGGTTCCACTGTCCCCACAGCCAAGCTGTCTGTAGATCATGGACACAGAGATGTCGTCCATGGGACTTTGGCAGACACTGACCCAGGTCCCGTTGTAGAAAACTTTCAGCCACCCAGCACACTGGTGGTCTTGCTCACCATCTTGAGGGTCAGAAACTCTGGTTGAAATAGGAGGAGACAGGACACAGTGAGCACTCCACTCAGTGCTCTGGGTTACCCTCTCCTCAAGAACCTGTGGCCATAAATTCCTGATCCTGCTGAGGAGGAGATACCCACTAGGTGACAAGACTGAAGATAAGATTTGTCTCCAGTTCAACTGACTTTATCCTTTAATGTCTGTCTTTCTACTTCTACTACGATGATGTAGTGGATACGAACAAAGAGGAAGACCAACCTGGACTTCTATAGGGAGGGGAGCTGAATCATGCTTCCTGACAAAATCTCTAAAAGAGTATGTGAAAGGGAAGTGATGTAGATATTGGAGAGATGGGCCACAATTGTCTAAGTCCTAATGAACCACAATTGTCTAAATCCTAATCCCTGGAAGCTGTGAATGTTACCTTTCATTTCAAAACAGACTTGGCAGATATTTTTAAGACTAGAAACTTAGGACCTTGGGATTGTGATATTAGCCTGCAACATTATGCATTAACCAAGTAAACCCAATGTAATCATATTCTTGGGCTTCCCTGGTGGCTCAGATGGTAAAGAATCTGCTATAATGCAGGAGCCAAAGGTTCAATCCCTAGGTCAGAAAGATCCTCTGGAGAAGGGAATGGCAACCCACCCCAGTATTCTTGCCTGGAGAACTCCATGGACAAGAGAACCTGGCGGGCTACAGTCCATGGGGTCACAAAGGGTCAGACATTACTGATAAATTCAACATGCATACACACAATCACATCCTTAGACCTACTATCTGCAAAACTGGAATTCTCTTTTTGACTGTGTTTAGAGGGAAATGAGACATGGAAGAAAGGTCAGAGGAGAAAATGTTGTCTGAAGAAGAAGAAAGAGGGCTCTGAGACAAGGAATGAGGCCACAATGAAACCAGGAAAGGCTGAGAAACGAGTCCTCCCCATACCCTCCAGGAGGAACTCAGCCCTGTGGACACTGGGGTGTTGGCCCACAGAGACCCTCATCAGACTCCTAGCTACAGAACTGAACAGAGTAAATCTGTGCTGTCATTACAAAGTCAACAGGATCTCCAGACTGTACTGCCACAGGGAACAGAGGAAAGAGCCCTGCTTTCACGTGGAAACTGTGAGAAACGGCTCTGCCAGGAAACACTGCTGGGAAGAAAGGACCAGAATCTCAGCTGCTGCAGGAGGAAGTGAAAGCACCTCCTCTTCACATCTGCTGCAAAGACAGCCTCCATGGGAGGAAGCCTCCTTCTCTGGTCCTTTCAGCATCTCTCCCTCAGGGCTCAGACCCCCGTACTCCAGGGTTCCACCCATTCCCCAGACTGTGGACAGTGTGCAGCGCAGACCTGAGCAGATGACCCCCGCGTCCTCCTTGTGTCTGCAGTCATGCTACCCCCAGCCTCGGGAAGGACACTTCCATACGTAGGACTCCTTTCCTGTGCAGTTCAGGTCGTCCAGCCAGATGGACCCTGATCCCGCTCCGAAGTGAGCAGACCCCGTGGCACTGAGGGCTTCTCCACAGCCCAGCTGCCTGCACACCACGCGGGCATCGTCCAGGTCCCAGCCGCCATCACAGATGGTGCCCCAGGAGCCCTGGTCAAGGATCTCCACTCTCCCAGAGCAGGGACCTCCCCCGTCCACCAGGCGAAGCTGTCTGCTGTCTGAGGAGAGAGAAATGGGACAATGGGGCCGTGATCTGGGGAATGAAAAGGTCTTCTGTCCTGTGGGGCCCTCACCTGAGCAGTAGGGGGCGCTCTCCTCTGAGGCCGCAGAGCCTGCTGGTTCTGACAGGGAGTCATTGCACTGGGGCAGCACCTGGGTGTGGTTTCCTGCAGAAACAGCAATGATCAGAGGGCTGGGAGGGCTGGAAGTTTTTAACATATCCACAAAATTTTTACTGTCATATCCACTGAGAATTCAGATGTATGTCTCCTTCTCTTGAAGCTCCACTGGCCTTCGTGAATTTCTAGTAAGCAATAGAAGGGAGTGAAAGTAACATTGCTTGACTCTCAGCAGCAGGTCTGAAAACTCAGGCAGCTTCCTGTGTAATCACTTAGGACCTTGCTTTAAGGCAAGTCTGCCCTGTTGAGGCTCTGTCCTGCAGAGACTGTCACGTGCAGGTCTCTGGTCACTCCGTTCAACCCAGCTGCCAGGCTTGTTCATGAACCATCCTGGATCCCCAGCCCAGTTGTTTCCTCAGATGATGTCAGCCCCAGCTGATACTGGGCTGCAACCTGATAAGACTCCAAGACAAATACAAATCTGAGCACATCTGTAATTCTTTATGCAGGAAATTGTGAGAAAAGATTAAAAGGAGTTTTAAGCTGGTAAATTTTGAGGGAAATTCTGTTATGCAACAATAGTAACTAAACACTTAAACTTACTATATCACTAAGAACTTATGAAGACAAATGAAGTGTTTGTATTGTTTTCAGAAGGACTTGTGTATACATATGCATAGCATCTTTATCCATAATGACTCAAATTTGGGGTGCCACCTAACACTGGTGACATTGCTTTTGGAACAAAGTAACAGGCAGAAGCTAGATGGGGTGGAGGAGATTATTAGCAGAAACCTGATGGGCTTGGGCAATGCTGTCAATTAGGACTGAAAGGAAGTGAGGAAACACCACTGGGGCTGAAGGAAAAATGCATGGTGATCTGTGTTATGCAGAATAAAATGGTCGCTTTAAGTGACTAGATTTTAAAGTAATTTTGTTTCATGGGAACAGTAACTAGAAAACACTCTCAGCCTCAGTAACTCAGTAGTGAAGCAGCAAAACCAATCACTAAATATTTAGAAGATGTGAATGGTGTGATTACAAAATAGAGTATGTCCTGCCACGTCAGTAAACAAGAATGTCACAGCCATCAGCAATTTGGGGCCTCCAAATGTGAATCTCTGCACCTGGAGGGCACCACGAAGGAAGCCCCAAAAGAACAATGCCTATGATCCAGCAGCTGTCAGCTGCCTTGACTGCCTACAGTGAGCAGTGATCAGAGAACTAAGGATGTAATAAAATCAAGAAGCTGGATCCTGGCCCCAGATAGCTGAGATGCACATAAAAAGAATGAATTCAGTGAGCCTGGCTGCTTGCATCTTCCCATGTATAGAAGAGTGCTAAGTTATCTGATTTTCCTTAATTAACAATAATCTTTGATGTTCATACTACCCGCCTCCTTTGTTGCAACTTCGGTATAACCTGACTCCTTCCCCACTTCCTTGGAGCAGTTTCTCAAGGCTGCTTGACATGCTGTCCCCCAAGCTCAAAGTCTTGAGAATTCCCACCAAATAGAACATAACTCTTAACTTCTAGGTTGTGATTATTTTTTAAGTTAACACATTTAATAAACATACATCTCAAAATTACAGAATACACCTTATTCCAAGCACTTACAGGCCATTTACTAGGGCTTATCATATACAAAAAGTCAGATCCAAAAAAATTTTTAAGGGCTAAAATCATTTTTTAAAAAATATTTTTTTTACTAAAGTAGAATTAAGCTAAAAACAGAAGACAGATAGTAAAACCTTCTTTCCTGAGGTATAATTATTCACACAGTAAAATATATTGAGCATCTTTTCATAAGTTTTGACAATCATATGTGCCAGTGTAACCACTACCACAATTAAAATTCGGAATATATAGGATTACCCCAAAAGTTCCTACATGCTTTTTGCAACCAATAAAAGCCCAACAAACGCAGGCCCGGGCAAATACTGATCCATCTTCTATCACAGTGTTACCAAATCCAAGCTCACTCTGCTCACCGCACAACAAAACAATGAATCCAAGAGACAAGTGGTTGAGGCAAGGAAGAGACTTTAATGAAGAAGACAGTTGAGGGGTGGATGTAAGGCTAGCACCTCAAAATAACCATCTTGTCAGGGCCTGGTTGTCAGGTTCTTTTATGGATCAGAGATGAGGAAGAGATGAGGAAACAAAGTAAAAAGACTATTCAACCCTTGCAAATGTCCCCTAGAATGGCTGTCCTCAGGCAGGGGAATATATTAGTTTCATTTCCTTACAGTCCTTCAGTTCAGTTCAGTTCAGTCGATCAGTCATGTCCGACTCTTTGTGACCCCATGGACTGCAGCACGCTGGGCCTCCCTGTTCATCACCAACTCCTGGAGTTCACCCAAATTCATGTCCGTTGAATCGGTGATGACATCCAACCATCTCATCTTCTGTCGCCCCCTTCTCCTCGCACCTTCAATCTTTCTCAGCATCAGGGTCTTTTCCAATGAGTCAGTTCTTCACATCAGGTAGTCAGAGTATTGGAGTTTTAGCTTTAGCATCAGTCCTTCCAATGAATGCTTAGGACTGATTTCCTTTAGGATGAACTTGTTGGATCTTTTGCAGTCCAAGGGACTCTCAAGAGTCTTCTCTAACACCACAGTTCAAAAGCATCAGTTCTTCAGCACTCAGCTTTCTTTATAGTCCAACTCTCACATCCATACATGACTACTGGAAAAACTATAGCTTTGACTAGATGGACCTTTGTTGGCAAAGGTTTTTTTATATGCTCTCTAGGTTGGTCATAACTTTTCTTCCAAGGAACAAGCAGCTTCTAATTTCATGGCTGCAGTCACCATCTGCAGTGATTTTGGAGCCCCCCAGATAAAGTCTGTCACTGTTTCCATTGTTTCCCCATCTATTTGCCATGAAGTGATGGGACCAGATGCCATGATCTTAGTTTTCTGAATGTTGAGTTTTAAGCCAACTTTTTCGCTCTCCTCTTTCACTTTCATCAAGAGGCTCTTTAGTTCTTCTTCACTTTCTGCTGTAAGGGTGGTGTCATCTGCATATCTGAGGTTATTGATATTTCTCCCGGCAATCTTGATCCCAGTTTTTGCTTCATCCAGCCCAGCGTTTCTTCACAGGTGGGCAACTCAGGTTATCTCCCTGAGGCAGGCCATCATGTAGGTTTACAATAACACAAAAGAGTTAAAGTCACAGAAGAAGATTCAGTGTAAATTTAAAACTAGCCCTTCCAGGTTACAACAATAGATTAGTTGTGTTTTCTAGGATTTCATAAAATCATACAATAGGTAATCCCTTTCACATGGCTTCTTTCAGTTAACATGCACTGAGATTTTCAGTGTAGTTGGCTTTATGAGTAGTTTATTCTTTGTATTGTTTAAACCCTTACATTGTTGAATATGCCATAATTTGTTTTCCATTCTTTCTCTAAAGAAAATTAGAGTAGTATATTATTTTTTTAATAAAAATATTCTGACTTTTCTAGCTTAAATTTTTTATGGACATATCTTTTCATTCCTCTTGGGTAATAGAAATTTTGAGTAACATAAAGTTGTCTAAGAGCCGTTTTCTTATACATTATTATCATCAGTATATGAAGGTTCTAGTGGATCAATATCCTTCTCCAAACTTGGAATTATCAGTCTCCTTAACTCTAGCCATTCTAGTTTGTGAATTTATATCTCATGTTTTAATTTGAATTTCCTTAATAACTAGAGATATTGAGTATCTTTTCATTCATATATTTGCCATTTGTATATCATCTTTGGGGAATTGTCTTTCTTAATCTTTTGCCCACGTTTAAACTGGGTATTTCTTATTTTTTTGTTATAAATTTTTCACTTACTCAGGATACAAGTCCTCTGTTAGATATATTTATTGCAATTAATTTCTTCCTATCAGTTGAATGTCTTTTCATTTTCTTAATGTTTTCTTTCAAAAAGAAAAATATTTTAATTTTGATGAAAATCACTTCTCATTTTTTTAACGATTAATGCCTTACGTGCCTTAGGAAATGTTTGCCTTCTCCAGGATCATGGTGATTTTTCTTATATTTTCTCCTACATGTTTTATAATTGAATTTGATATGGGAATAGCCATTTATTGGAGCTACTTTGATGGATTGGGGGTTTTCTGCAGAGTGAAGATGGGGAGAATGGGACTTTTTTTTTTTTTTTTTTACTTTTTTTTTTTATGACAAAGGAAGTTTTAGAAAGTCCAGTAGGCTAACATTATTTTGGTACTCTTACAGGGTAAACATCAAATAATTCTTTTTTTTTTGGGGGGGGGGGTTTATTTATTTTTTCTTTTTTTATTTATTTATTTATTTATTTTTTTATCACAACCATAGTGTATCTTTTTTTTTTTTTCTTTTTTTTTTTTTTTTTTTTTACATGTATTCCCCATCCCGGTCCCCCCTCCCACCTCCCTCTCCACCCAATCCCTCTGGGTCTTCCCAGTGCACCAGGCCCGAGCACTTGTCTCATGCACCCAACCTGGGCTGGTGAACTGTTTCACCCTAGATAATATACGTGTTTCAATGCTGTTCTCTTGAAACATCCCACCCTCGCCTTCTCCCAGAGTCCACAAGTCTGTTCTATACATAGGAGTCTCTTTTTCTGTTTTGCACATAGGGTTATCGTTACCATCTTTCTAAATTCCATATATATGTGTTAGTATACTGTAATGGTCTTTATCTTTCTGGCTTACTTCACTCTGTATAATGGGCTCCAGTTTCATCCATCTCATTAGAACTGATTCAAATGAATTCTTTTTAATGGCTGAGTAATATTCCATGGTGTATATGTACCACAGCTTCCTCATCCATTCGTCTGCTGATGGGCATCTAGGTTGCTTCCATGTCCTGGCTATTATAAACAGTGCTGCGATGAACACTG